GTTATAGTGCTAACTTGTAGGCCCGGAGTCAAGTGCAGATTTGTCTTGACAGTTGAGCTCTGAGTGCACTGCCTTTCTCCAAGGCATGGTCTGCTGGGTATGCCCTAAGTACACATGGCATACCCAGTCTGTGTTTACTTGTGGCCTGGGTACTCAGCTCACTGGCTGAGTGCTGGTAAAGCCAACACTGTATCATAGTGGTAGAATACCCTGTTAGCATGCACAAGGCTCTGGTTCCAATTTCTGATGCTTTAAATAAAGAAGACATGGTGATCATTTAAGTAGTGTTTGTGTTTGTCAAATTCCCATCCTGAAGAACCGACCTTCACCTTCCTCTCTGGCAGTGACAGACTGAATTTGGTTGCTAATCTTGAGAAATGGCTTACCTGTCTTGGGCATGTATGCAGGGTGACAAGTCATCCAGGGATGTTAAAGGCCTGCTCCTCTCCTTGTCAGTGGGGGACTGGATATGTTGGTACATGGTATTCTGGAAGTTACTAAGTAGTCTACTTTTGTCTGTAGTATGAGCTAGGTTCTAGCCTGTTATCCAGCCTCCTTCCTGCCCTGTCCACTGGCTGTCAGGCAGTGTATGGGTGGGCAGGGACAGCAGAGCAGCTGCTGATGCCTCTTCTCTCCTCTCTGAAGGGTCTGATGCTGCTGCCGTTGAGGGCTACTTCATCTATTAAACCCAATACACTTGTCGCAGCTGCTAAGCCCCGTAAGCCGCCGGGCGCCGTGTTTGTGATGGGACTGACAGTGCATGGAGGAGGCTGATTATACACGATTCCATTTCGCGGGCCCAGCGATGTAATTTCACAGGGCGATCAGCGTTTGCATGTAATAGCAGGCTGTGCTGAGGTGTCAGAATATTAAAGGCGCTAATGGCAAAGCTCCCTGTTACACAGGGGGCCACCCGCCGCGCCTACAGCAAGGCTGTGCAGCAGGCCCGTCGCAGATGGCTGGCCACTAAGCTAATGGGGCAGCAGCCAAGGCGAGCAGAGCCACAAGAGGGGAAAGCCAGCCGGGAACAGCTCGGCACCTGCTTCCCTGCGCATGGAAATTACAGCAGCCCAGGGGAAGGGAAGTGTGCGTGCCTGCCTGACAGGGTAGGGTGGGTTGGTTCAGTAGATACAACATCTTTCAATCCAACTCCACCTGTCCTCCTGGCTCGGCATTTGAGTGCCTGTTATGGACAGAACTTAAGCGCTACTGTCCTTAGAAGTCTCTTCCTTTCCTTAGTAGTCATCCTTCCACCTGCTCCACCCTCTCCTCTGACCGGGAACCATCCAGGGTTTAGGTGCTAACTGCACAGCTGTACAGACAGGCCATAGTGGCTGAGAGGTGCCATGGGGAAGCAGCAACCAGACAATTTGAAGTAGCTCAGGTACAGGGCTTGGAGAGAGCTCTCAGAGCAGATTCCTGCCCCACACTGATCAAGATTAGGAAGCTTCTTGCCCCTTAATCTTCTTGACAAATTGAAAGGAAGGGAGCAAGAAGAAGCAGCCTCTGCCCACTCCTTCCATTCTCCTTTGTCCTGGCTGCATCTTCTGCCTGTACTGAAGTGCTTCCTGTTGGCTATGCTCAGACTTTCCAGTAACACTCCTCCAGGAGGCTTTCCTACCTCCTCCAGCCCCACACAGGCTCAGCCCTCTGCTCTGATTGATTGCCAGCTGTCAGCCTTGTCTTTCCAACTAGAGTTCTTGCAACATAACTCGTATACGTTGTCCTGAGCAGAACTCCTGAAAGACTCTTCTAAGGCTGTTTACAGATGCAGTCTCTTTAGGAGGATGGCAGGATGGCAATCACTGGAGGGAGTGGCTACGACATGTGTGGGTGAGCATGTACATGGTGGAGCTACTTCCTGATGCATATTGCTGGGGATGCTAGGCTTCCAAAGGGAATACCAAGCTGTGGGTCCAGGTGCAGAGGTCCAGCAGATGTGAGGTCCAGAGTACACAGTGACAGAAACATAAGCTGCATTGCTGTCTGAGCCTCAGTGTCTCTGCATTGTCTGTGACTGCTAGCTGTGCCTGATAGGTTCCCAAATGACAGGGATTTTTGGGGGTGGTGTATTTGAGGTACAGGACGTAGGCTGCTTCTGTGAGGCTGGTGGCTGTGTCAGAGGGTAAGCTCTGGGGGACATATGCCAGTGTTCTCAGCAGGAGCATCAGGAGGATCCCAGGCTGAAGGAGAACAGTTTTAATTAACCGTCTTTAATATCATTTTGGACTTTGGCTGTTATGTGAAGGCCCCGCTGGAAGCAGCATTTGTAAAAATTAAATCCCTCTTATTAGGAGCTTGGCAGACCCATGTGCACATGCCACCCCTCCTCCTGGCCCATACCCCCTGAGGAAGTGCTGGATGAGGCCGTGTCTCAGCAGCAATTGGTTATCATGCCTTATCTAGGAATATGAAACTGTGCAGCATGACACCACAGCCTCAGTGGAGACTCCAATTCATCTCACCCTTGCTCTGACAAGCTACACTGACTGCCCTTCCTGAAAGGCATCCGTCAGGTGGGACCAGGCTGCAGCTTTCCAGCTACTTCTCTCCAACCCAGGACACTAGCTTGCCCTGGTCCAGCCTGGCCCTCCTGGTCTTTGCTGCCCTTCATCTCCCTCCAACACATCCTAGCCTGTGAAGATCTTGGGGAGCCATAATTACAGCAATAACCTAATCATGGTGACGTACGTATCTAATGCTATCTGAAGTGGTCTTCCCGCTTAGCTGCGATAAGGCTCAGGATGACGTGCTGATAACGTTGAGATGCCCTGTCCTCGAGCCACAGGCAGAGCGGAGGGGCCGCCACAGCCCTGCCGCTTGCTCGTCGCTTTAAGCCGGGAAGCGGCAGCACCTGCTAATGCAAGTGTTTAATATTTGATGGGCTGGGATAAAGCAGGATCACCTTCGAATTGAATTGAGTGTCAGCCGAGAATCTATTACTGAAATTCGGGTGTGATTTGACAGCAAAGTAGACGATGTTATTCTTCACTAGTTACTGCAATCTTCTCCCCGACATCACTTAAATATTTTTTTCTTTGCTTGAGTAAACACACATTATCCTTCTTTTTTTCCCCCTTCCTTCTCTTTTTCCTTTTTCAAGGGGGAAAAAACCCATCCAGCTCGCCTTCTCCAGGCTGATAGAGTAGATTGTTATTTCTTTATTTGTCCTATTAAATGGAATTTCTGATCGTTTAATCCGGCCTTTGTAAGTGATTTTAAAGTACTTGAAAGGCAGCCGCCACTGCTCTCTGGCCCACTGAGCTCCAGTGTCAGCTGGCCATGCTTAACAGTTTCCCCAGCTGTGCCCACCTACTAGCTGTGTCCCCTGTCTGATTGCATCCTCTTGCTGCATGTATCCCCTTGTTGCCTACATCCAGGCTCTGCCAGCATGCTCTCCCCAAACCCCATCCTTGAGTCCACACTCAGCCTCTGATATGTGGCTATAGCGGGGACCTGGGAGAAGGTAGAGGAGGGTTGGCTAGAGTTGAGCTGTGGCTAGTCCCTCTGTGATCAAGGAAAACGGCTTTGGAAAGTAACTGAGTTTTAAATTGCATTGGCTTCTAGTCTCCTAGTGCCCGTGGGCTTGGTTCCTGAAGCTGGAAAGAAACTGGCCCTCTGCCTCTGGGCCCTGCACGCGCCCCCCGCCCCCCATCTTGTTTCTGGCCCTATTCTGGGTCTTTTCCTCTTTGTGAGAGTGCTGGGCCCAGAAGTAGGTGGGCCCTGCAGTGCTTATCTAAGCATGGCTAACAGGCATTTTGTTCTATTACCTGACTCAACTCACCCAAGTTTTATTCCCATTATCACTGTCCAACATTGCTGTTTAGAAGAGGGTCAGCTTGGTGTTTAACTTCTGAAGTGAAGAAATAGGTAAATGTTTAATCTGATTTCAGCCCCACTGACAGAAGCCCAGGACTTTTTTTGGCAAGCTAAGAAGCCCATCTCAGCCACACTGTAGAGGTCTAACCCACATAGGTCAAGTCACTTTCTAATGTGCCTCAGTTTCCTCATCTGTGACATTAGGCTTGTCATGCCAGTGAGGGTAGAAGCTGCTGGTCCTGTCCCCAGTGAGGGAAGACAAGTCCTGTCCTGCCAATGTTCCCCACAGATGGAGATCACTGGAGGCCAGACGGTGTGGTAGAGAATGGAGGGAGCAATGGAGCTGCTGGGGACCTGAGCAGATCGATGCCCCCAGCACTTCCTTCCCCAACCCCAGGAAAACAATTAAGTACAGATCAATGGATGGCCGCTTTGAATATGCATAAGTGAACACTTGACCTTCAACAGAACACACACACACACACACACACACACACACACACACACACACACACACGCTCGCGCACAGACACACACAAACACACACACCCTTCCTCACCCTCACAACACACCCTGGACTTTCCTTACTGATGCTTGAGTTGACCTGGTGACCTTATTCCCTTTTCACTGAGCTCTCACACAGACAGCACTTACAGCCTTGCACAACCTTGCCTGTGCAGAATGAAAAGCAATGTGACTATAGGCATGTTGTTGGCCAGCTCTTGTTTCTTTTTTTTTTTTTGTCTGTGGAGTGAAATTTGGAGACACTAATCTCCTAGGTCCCACCAGTCTTTGTGACCAGCAATCCCAAGGGAAGGAGCCCAGCACAGTTGTGGTGCTCTAGGATGGGAGTCTGTGGAGGGTGCTTGGTGAAGGAGATGTTCTGATGAGGGAAGAACTCACCATAAAGACAACCTTAGCAAGCCAGAATTCTAGAGAAGAGCCCTGCAATGGGGCACCTCATTGGGGTAGCAACTGCTGAAGGGGAAGGCCCAGGAGAAAGAATACTTCAGAGAAGGAAGGGGTCTTGCTGGTGGGGAAGAGCCTTGGTGAAATAGAATGTGTGAACAGACTTTAATATGAGGTGGTATTTCAGGTGGGGCCTTGGGTGGAGACTTGGTGAGTGGGGTTTGCTCAGTGGTCAGGGCCTCTGTTAACCAGTCTTACTTCCTGTCTTCCAGGCTTACAGCTTCGCCATGGGCTGCTGGCCCAAGAACGGACTACTAGACATGAACAAGGGCCTCAGCCTGCAACACATAGGCCGGCCCCACAGCGGCATTGGTCAGTCCCTCCACAAATCCCCCTGGCAACTCGGTCAGTCCCCTGCCCACATGCCTCAGTCCCCTGGCAAACAGAGGGTTTCCCTGTCTGATTCTGTAGCCCAGCCCTATGGAAGGTTCTCATCATTGGCTGGAGGGAGGAGGGTAGGGAGGGCAGAGGAAGGACATTATGATTTGGGGCAAATAGAAAGGACCTCTCAAAACATTTCAGAGGAAACTGGAAATATAGGTTTTGAGTGACTCACAGGTGGCCTTAGATTTAAAGTGCTGTCTCCTGTCCCTCCTGCACAGTGTCTTCAGGGATGTGGGCACATGTCAGCTTACCCACCCCCTGTGGAGCTGGAGGAGGCTGTTTAATATTGTTTCAAGTCTGTGGCCACTAAACTGGACGATCAATGGGAGTTAAGGAGATGAATTATTTAAACCTCACCAGCTTTTAATTAGTCTAGGTCCTTCTGACCGATGACTTCGTCCACAGGGTATTGACTCCCCCGCAGGATCAGCAGCCTCCACTGAGCAGTGCCTGAGTTGGGAGGGACTGCGTGGGGTAACAGGTGGGGTAACACTGGGGATTTCTGCTTGGGAGAAACTGGAGTGGCTGCAATTCCACAGAGTTGGCAGCTCTGTAAGCTTCTGATACATCAGTGTGAATATGTGTCTGTGTGAGTATCATGTTGTCTGTGTATGACAGCTTGCCTGTATGTCTGTGTGTCTGAGTAGAAGGTATCCATCTTTGTACATGCCTGTTAGAAGAGTGTATGCCTAACAGTACATCCATGTTGATTTGAGGGCCTGTGTCTGATTATAGAAACAACCACCAGCCTGTGGGTAACTGTCAGAAGAAAGTCTCTTTCTTTGTCTCTTATTTTGTGTGTATGTGTGCAGATGCTTCCAAAGAACAAAAATGACCAGCTGTAGGCACTGTTCCAGAGCATGGATGGAGTCAGGTGATCCTGGGTGGTGTTATGACCTTATTAGAACTTGATTACTTTTGACAAGGTATCATCATCAGTAGGGGCTATAGAAAGACATCAGAATGGTAGAAGGTCCCAGCACTTGGTACAAATTAGCCCTTTTATCCACTATACACCTGTCCAATGCCCAGTAGGTACTGAATATGCTAAGGAGGGACAGAGCCTGAAAATGGGTGCTTGCCAACCAGGTGCTCAACTGCTGTGCTCTGGATTACCACTAGGGAAGTTTCCCTGTTCTCAGTTGAGTTGACAGGGTAGCTTCTACTTCATCTATATCATAGTGATTTCTGGGATGCTCTCTGTCATTCCTAGGGACCAGGGAGACAAGAAGCCTGGGGCTCTGGGGGTCCCCTGCTATAACTGCTGTTCTTCCCCATAGACCTGTTTCCATGCAGCATAAAGGAGACACCAAACCCAACTAGGTGATAAATCTTGAGAGTCGAGCAGGAAAATTACTACCAAAAAAAAAGCCCAAGCCGGGGGGTAGTGGTGGTGCACGCCTTTAATCCCTGCACTTGGGAGGCAGAGGCAGGCAGATTTCTGAGTTCGAGGCCAGGCTGGTCTACAGAGTGAGTTCTAGGACAGCCAGAGCTACACAGAGAAACCCTGTCTTGAAAAACAAACAAACAAAAAAAAGCCCAAAACAAAAACACTTGAGTTGGTATCTTTGAAAGATAAATATGCAGAGAAAATGTGTGTACAAAGAAGACCTGAAAGAGTCCAGTATATTGAGAAGACAAGTTTAGACATCAGTAAGTAGTATCCTAAGACTGGAATAGAAAGTTTAGTTTAGTAAACAGCTAGAAGCAGGACCTTGAATGCTCGTTAAAAGGCAATTCTTCCTTCCTGGAATATTCAGAGGGGGTGTTAGAAGATGAAAGAGTAACATGATCAGCTGTTTGTGCTGCACAAAGCTAGCTCTTACTAGTTGTTCAATAAAGTCTTGTAGCTAGAGGGATGAAAAGTAGGTGAGTAGAGACTGATGAGTGATGGAAAAGGGAGAGGCAGGAAAGTAGAACCACTGAGAAGACTTGCATCAGTTCAAGGAAGGAGAGCAGCAGCAGTGGAGTCTGGTGGTAGCCTGTGGTAAGACAGCCTCCGCAGCTTTGAGCGAAGCTCTGCTTTGTCTGTCTGCACTAGGGTGTATTTGTGGGGAGGATAACTTTCACCACTCTTTCTCTGTTGCCTCTTGAGTGATTCCTCCCTTGTCTGTTCTCCTATGTTTGGACTCCTGAAGTAGCCTATCCTTTAAAGAAGAACATTTTCCCCTCTGGCTGATGGCTCTGAGCAACAATGAAGCCAGAAATAGTTCTAGCTTTACTGTGCAGATGACTGAGCCTTCAGCTGAGGGGCAGTGCTGCCAGCCTCCTAGGACAGTGGGAGGGGCCAGCAAGTAGCCCAGGGAAAGGCTTGGATAAGGCCTATCCCAAAGTAGGTGCTCAGGGAGCACCCTCTCTGGCTTTGCCAATGGCAGAGGCTGCCAGGGCACTGGCCCTTCTTGGCACTTGGTCTCTGCAGTCTGAATGAAGAGGGCAGCCCTTCCAGCAGCTCCTGGCTAGCTCTGAGGTGCGGGTGAGGGTGCTTGGAAAGGAGGGAGCATGGAGGGCATTAATTGGGCTGGGAGAGGCAGGGAGGGGAGGCGTGGGTTTTGAGCAGTGAGGTTAATGGCCCTCGCACCAAAGAGACAGCTTTAATGAGCTTCAGCTGGCGGTGCCCCGAGTTACTGTGCGTGCTAAAAGGGTCGCGCTGTAAGAGTTTGATGTGGACTGCTTCCCAGCCCTGGGGTCAGGGGTCAGCTCCTGTCACTGGCCGCTCGGGCTGGTCCTCAGTGACATGGCGCTAATTAACTGTGTGCGGCGCTGCCTGCCAGGCTGGGGCAGGGAGTGGATGTGTACTGTCGGGTGTACTGTCGGACGGGGCGAGACGAGGCAGCACTGGGTGAGGCTGGATAGAAGTGTGCCGATCCCACCACTCAGCCATCTCCAGGTCCTGATTGGCTCATCCACAGTGCCGTGGGGATATGACATTAGTGCTGTGCAGGTGCTCACAGTGCAAGGAGGCAGCTTGTAGGTGGAGTGGGGTGATGGGAGGAGGACAGGGAGACAGGTTGTGGGGTAGCATAGGTGGGTAGAAGGCCAGTCAAGTTATGTATCCTGAGGTGTTTGAGAGGCAGGTCTGATTTGAGCTTTGAGAATGGTCTGCTGGTTTGTTTGGGGAAAACTGATGACGAGTCTACAGGGCAGGGAGGAAAGGCACAAAGGTAACCGAGAGCCAGGGCAGCACTGAGGGCTGGGGACAGTCTGGGGTAGGGTGCTGTGGCAAGGAACCAGGTTAAACTTTCTTTTGGCCATTAACTGCTTACCTTGCATCTACTGTGTGTCAAGAATTATGACAGGGCTACAAGTGAATTGGTATAGATGACATGGTGCCTGGTACCCACAGAAATTTCAGGTAGACGTTTTGAGCTTGGCACTGGAGACTGAAGGAGATAACAGTTCAGGAACGGCCAAGGAAGGTCAAGAGATGCTGGAACACTGGGCAGGAAGGTTTTGGAGGCTTGTAAGCAGGACATTTTAGCAGGGATGGGGTGGGTTTGGCCTTGGGGGCCTGATGTATAAGGTAGGGCCACAGTGGCAGAGCTGTTGAACTGATATGCCAACTACAAACCAGTGAGGCTCTAACAGTACCTCAGTTAGCTTGTCTCCAAGGTAGGATGGCCTCCCAGCGACTGCTGAGCAGTCTGCCTTTCTTTCATTTCATCATTGTCAGCAAAGTGTTCCACTTGTTTTACATAAACTCATTTTCCTAACAGCCATGTGAAGGTAGGCATCGCCTTTCCCTTCCTAAGAAACTGGCATGACTTGGTATAAAGTCCCACAGCCAGTGAGGTAAGGAGCCAGGAGTAAGTAAATACCCAAGTGCACAGCCCAACATCTCAATCCCCATGCCCTGCCAGTGTTGCACCTTGTAGTGTTGACTTTGTGATTGTTTTGACTTAAAAATAAAACAAAACAAAAAAACAAGCCAGATGTGGTGATGCATGAAGGCAGATAGATCTCTGAGTTCAAGGCCAGCTTGGTCTAGAAAGCAAGTCCAGGTGGACAGCCAGGACTCTGTTACACAAAAAAACCCTGTCTCTAAAAACAAAACAAAAAACTGGGTTTTGGGATTCAAATTCAGATCCTCATGCTTGAGAGAAAGCACCTCACCCACTGAGCTATCTCCTTAGCCTACACACTGGCTCTCCTGTTTTCCTTAAGATCATGTGAACCTTACAGGCCTGTACAAAGCTGAAGAGAGAAGGGCAGGCCCTGCCATCCATCAGCCCTGTTGAAAACACTTTGCCCTGAAGCCAGGGCACTACATCTGCTGACCTCCATCCTCTTCTGGTCCTGAAAGTTCTTACTCTGATTACAGTTTGCTCTCTACCTCTTGGCCCAGGGAATCCCGCCCATCTCCAGGCCATCACATTAGGAGTATAAAGAAGAGTATCTTGATATCATTTGTTGTGGGCAATAACTGGATCCTTTAGGCTGGAGATGTAACTCAGTGGCAGATCACTTACCAACAAGGCCCTAGGTTCAGTCTCTAGTACTACAAAAGAACAAACCAAGCTAGAATCTTCCAAGCTAGGCTCTGCAGCAGAGTCTGGGTTCCTTCCCTTCTCTCTTTCTGAAATCTGCACAGCAAGTCTGCTATTGTGACAGAGCCCACAGACTGCAGGTTTCAGCTAGCTAGGAGAGTAACTGAACAGCCCCCGTACCCAGCTGGGTGGGCTGGCCCTGCCATCTTAGCCCCTCTGCTCTGAGACTGAGGAGGGTCCTGCAGAGGCTCATGGCACAGGTGGCATGGCCAGAGACCAAATGGACTCTCAAGAGCTTGCTGCCCCGCACAGTTTGGCAAGAGCTAGGCTGGCAGGTGGTGGCAGGGGGGAGGGTGCCCCCTCTGTGGGAGAAAGTACTAGCCTGTGGTCTCCCCACGAGTAGGGTGTCTATCAGAGTCCAGTCAGAATGCATTAGCTCTGTGG